TGGGTTTAAGCCTTGAAAGGCCTAGATTCTTGTCCTGGCTTGCTAATATTCCCACCCTTGCCTTCTAGCTGGAGTTGATGTGATCATTAGATGTGGGAATGTGTATGAAGATGTGCTTTACTTTATGGGTGGAGAACATTTTTTTTCCTAATGAAGGCTCCAGACCCGCAGCGGGGTGGGGAAAAACTCAAGAATCCTACAGATACAAGGCAACTTTATTCATTTGGGGATGGTTTGTGTTTGAGAGAAACCTAGGAAAAAGTTTAGCAAATCTGCTTTAAATTAGACAACAGGAGACATAAATATTTATTTTTAAAATTATGGGGGCTGGCCCCATGGCCAAGTGGTTAAGTTCGCGCGCTCCGCTGCAGGCGGCCCAGTGTTTCGTTGGTTCGAATCCTGGGCGCAGACATGGCACTGCTCATCAAATCACGCTGAGGCAGCGTCCCACATGCCACAACTAGAAGGACCCACAATGAAGAATATACAACTTTGTACCGGGGGGCTTTGGGGAGAAAAAGGAAAAAAATAAAATCTTAAAAGAAAATAAATAAATAAAATAAAATAAAATTATGAAAAATTTTTTTAACTTCCACTTTAATTGAGAGACTGATGGACAGACATCTGCAGAAAGAGAAGGTGAAGCGGAGGCACAGCCGGCCAAGGGCATTGAGCGTGATGGGATTCCAGAAGCCTGGCAAGGCAGGGGCTAACCTCCTGACCTCTGACCTCCCCGGGTCCTCAAAGTTCAGCCCTGCTCAGGGAGTCTGGTTGGACTACTTCTCCAGGGAAAGAGTCACCATAAGATTATCTTCTTTTATCCTTATTCTTTGAACCACGATGATCATTTAACCCTGTAAATTCTGTAGTGAGTATTTTCCTTGGACATAAGAAAACATTTTCTTTATGGTATCTTAATATTAGTGAACTTAATTATTATTGAATTACTTAATTATTTAATTACTTTATCTATTTATTTGTTATTTTTATTTATTTGTTTATTTGTTTATTTATTTTATTTGTTTTATTATTTGGTAATAAATTTATTAAATAAACTTATTATTTAATTACTTTAATTGCTTAATTATTATTGAATTACTGAAAAATTAGTGAACTTAATATATGACTATACTGTTGGCTGGAGACCTATAACATATTATAATAATGATAGTAGCAATAGCAGTGAACATTTATGTAGTGAACATGCATATTATATGGCCAACCTTTTTTCTGCGTGTTTTACACACTACGCGGTGAGGTCAGTGCTATTTTGATCCCCATTTCACAGATAAGCATCTGAAGCCTAAAGAGGTTGAGTAACTTGTCCGAGGTCATTCAAATAGTGAGTGGCTGAGCCAAGAGATGAAGGTCCCGTAGAGAGTTCACACTCCTGGTTTCCAATCCAGGCTGCATAATGTGGTGTAGAGTCTGACCCTCCTCATTTCTGGTTTCACCAGAGTATTTACAAATCCTCTGCAGGCTTTCTATAGATCTCTCCATTTTAGCTCTCCTATACATCTTCCCTTAAGTAACCCCTGCAGTCGTTCTGCGTTCCACTCCTGAAGTTGGGTAATTCCGAGATGGATCCTGTGGTTTGCTCTGTGCTACCCAATGCTGAATCGAACTTCCGAAGGTGACTGTTGCACAGTGACCCACCTAAAAGGAAAAAAAGTTCTCCAGTGTGGAGATCTTTTAGGATATTCTCACTGAAAGCTGAGAATGCCGTGTTGTGATTCCAGAACTCTAAGCAGCGCTGTCAAGGAGGGGTGCGTGACGGACACTCAGTTTGAGGAAACTGCTGAGAATCACAAGGGCAATGAAACTATCAACCACAGCTTCCTCTCCGTAGTGTCGGCTCCTTGGCTTCAGCAAAGCTTCATTTAGTAATTTTCTGAGAATCAAAGGGGTTGGAACTTTCTCCTCTAATCATCTGTTGTTTACAGGTTTTCTCATATTGATTTAGTCTGCATGCCCTCCTTCATGCCGTGTCCACTGTGGTACCATTCGCGGGCAACCATTTTAAGCTGCTTTGCCATATTTGGAACAATCTTGTGACAGAACCGGCTTCTTGGTATTTAGATATGTTGGCCTTGCTGTACTCTTGCCTTAGGTGTGGTTTCAAACTTTATTTTAAGCAAAAATTTTTGAAAAAAATACCTAATCCCTATTTTCAAGGAAAATCATATGCACGAGACCAGTGTTTCAAACAGTTAAAAATGATGCTGCTGTGGTTGAAAGGCTCCAGAAGGGCCTGGAATTCCAGCTAGCTGCACCACTGTCTTCCTCCCCAATTTAATGACAATTGAAAACCACTGACCTGTTGAATAAGGTCCAAGGTACTTATTTAAATGTGTACATAGTTTTATATAGGAAAACAAAGCAAATTGGGGCTATGAAGATTAAACAAAATGAAGTGTAATATGGTTGAGGTGCCTTAGAAAGCTGTATTTCTTACCATTCCTTGTGGAACCTATCAGTAAAAAAAACCAAAATCTCAACTCAAAGACTCTTGGCCTCCAGCCCAGGACTCTTTCCCATTTATCATATTATATTTCTTTTTATCCATAAGAACATTCACATTTACCATCAAGGGAAGTAGACATTGCTCTTAACTAGAAGCTAGGATTCTTGGGGGTTGTGAAGTTGCTTTGTTTTGTGAAATTGCACAAAAATGATTTCTTCAGAATTCCTCTTTTGCTAAGTGCTCCCATTCTAATTCCCATCATTCAGGGACCTAATTCATTCATTCATTTCTCCCTCCTTGTTTATTCATTCTTCCTTCCTATCTTCCTTCCATCTGTCCATCCATTTATCCATCCATCTATCCATCCAACGCATTGTTATTGAACACCTGCCGTGCTAAGTTTTGGGAATATGATGGTGAACGAGACAGATATGATGTCTGCTCGCCTTCACAGGGCTTACAAATAGTGCTGGATGATGTGAAAGGGCTTCTATAAATGACCCTAGAACTGTTAATAATATTGTAGATGTGCCCACCTCACTTCCCCCCTCATCATCATCAACTTTTAGCAATGGAATAAACCCCTTTTTTATTTTTATTCCAACAAAATTTCAGCAGAAACTTAGAATATAAACCAAATATAAGTGAGTGGGTCTGATTGAAGACAGAACAGCCCAATTCCTGCCATGTAGCCCAAAGCCTGTCTCGTGCTGCCCTCAAGGTACCACCTCAGACAGCCAAACCCGAAGGCCACCGACCTTGGTCTCTGTCCTTGGGCAGACACGATTTCATATTCTGATAGTAGTATGTAACTGTTCTTCATGTATACTAATGTCCCAGCTGTAGAGATAATTAGGACAAATGTGTAAATTCAGGCCTGCAAACCTCAAAAACCACTGAAATGGTAACTAGTAGCCTCTTTCTGTCCTCTCAGTGTCTGGCCCCAGAGCTTATCATCTGTGAGCCGCCAGAATGGGACAAAGGAACAGCCATGGCAGGGTTTTCTCCAACTTAATCCCGAGACCCATGTATTTTACCTTTCCTGTCCCAGTTGAGATACTGAAGACAAATTAATAGCAGAAACAACCCTTCCACCCTCTAAAAAGTCAGGACAAAGGAGTGTATACACGTGTTTATTTCAAGTTGTTTCTGCAGAATTTGGGTAACTTGAAATTATTTAGTGTGCTTAATTTCCTGTAGGGGGAAGGGAAATTTCCAAATTTGAGGCAAGTGGCGGTTTTGCCTCTGGCAGATTTAAATGAGAAAAGTGACTGCTGGGATCCCAAACAACCTCATGAATGCACATCTGTGCCCATAGTCTTAACCAACCTCTTTGTTCTGGCTGCAGCTGTAACAGCTTCAGTGACGCCTGCCCACATGATGCAGTGACATTTACAGAGCAAGGCCCACATGCTTTCTCATTTGAATTGCTGTAAAGCACTCCAGCCTCTTGTGAATGGCCACATAGAAAAGGGCTTCATCCTTAGAAGAAAGTGATCCCCGAGTTTAGAGCTCAAGTTTCTTACTTTTTCTGCCTACCTACTTTGGTTCAGCTGCCTGTGATTCCTGTATTTAGCCTCTATCTCTATGGGTTTCTTATTCTACTCCCTCTTCTCTCTCCTCTCTTCTCCAGCACTTTAATCCACTTCATATTCAATTCAAAGAAGGCCAAGAATGAGATTTTAAAAAGCAAATAGTAATTCAGTAAACTGATAAAATATTGATAAGGGCCAGGGATGGCTGAAATTGCTCAGTAGATGTATTTTATTTGGCCCCCTACAGTATTTGAAAAATTAGTTTCTGTATTTGAATGCCTTTGGACTTTGCACATGCTAGCCGGTTTGCCACAGTCCCCACTAATCTCTACTGTACTTCACACCCACTCTACTTTGCACATGTACATTGCTGGCCTATTTTGAGAGTCAGTCTGCTCCCTTCTTGAATTCCAAGGCTTTCTAGTCCATCTTCCTTGGGAATCTTCTGTGTGCAATTTGGAATTCTAAATTATTATGAAAGCCATTGCCGCTTTACAGATGTTTACAATCAAATAGGAGGAGTTGTTAAAGCAAATGAAAGATATAAATATAGTACTCATTTGTAGAAAGCAGTTAAAGAAAATAAGAGTCGTGCTCAGCCCATTGCTGAGAATGCTGTGTGATGCCAACCAGTAAATCTCACTAATTTACAAAGGGATTTGGTAGATTTTGTGTATAACCTTGCAAATTTTGCTTGGGTAGTTGATTCTGGCTAATGGAGCTTTAGCTTGTTCATAAAGTTGTTGGAGCCGTGAGATGACTAGATAATGGGTCCTTTATGTCTGTATTCCCAAGTGTCAACCTGCCGTTTCAGTCGTTGCCTTGTTTCTTTCCGCATTGCCCCCTTTACCATACCTTGCGTCTGTAAGACGCTTTAGTTCTTCTCATTTGAGCTGTGGACACATCTGCCTACTGAATTCTCCTGACTATTGGTACTGAACGTGGAAGACTGTAATTTGTTTCCTCTTTTAATAAAACCCTCTTTTTTTCCCACTTCCCAGCAGATATATGGAGTGATCAGTCATTTCAGACCGATCCAGATTTGCCACCTGGCTGGAAAAGAATCAATGACATCGCCGGGACCTATTACTGGCACATACCAACAGGAACGACTCAGTGGGAACGCCCTGTGTCCATCCCAGCAGATCTTCAGGGTTCTAGGAAAGGGTCACTTAGTTCTGTAACGCCGTCTCCCACCCCAGAGAATGAGGTAAAATGGAGTGTCTTATTAACGGCTTGGTAGGGTGGCTGTAACTTGTGATTTCTCTTTAGACTCGTTGCTTCTGCCCCCACAGGTCATCAAGGTAAGCTTTTTGATTATCATGCATGTTGCGCTTGGAACCTCAGTAATGTTTCCTCTTAGTGAAGAGTGTTAATACCATCTTTCAGTAATGTTTTCATTTTTTAATGGCATTGGTCTCTTGAAGCACCATTCCAGGTACACAAAGTACGAGGGGCTGATTAATGAGAAGTGGTTAAGATTCCCTGGGGCTCTCTGAGGCAGTACTTTACTCTATAGGTGCCATTGCATGGTGCTGGCTCCATAAAATATTTACACACAGAAGAACATCTCTTGGCTAGACGCGTTATAATTACTGCATATCTTATTAGCCATGGGTTCATTTGACTGCATAGAGAGGATGTCTGCAAGAATAACCCTTGAGAGCCCTTACATGCTTAATCCTATTAAAAAAAAAAAATCTGTTTATTTAGCAGAAGTGACATTATTTTAGAAATAATTAGCAGCATAAGTTTCTCCTATCCCTGAGGAGGAAATCTGGATGTTTAAACAAAGAATTGCGAGGCATTTAAAAATTCGATTGTGGTATTTATTAATATAAAGACTCCTGCAGTGGACCTTTGTGAATTCTGATAACAAAATATTCAAGAGAATTGCAGTTGGAAAAGGTCACAATTAAGTAATGGCTTTTTTTGAGAAAAGTACTTCGATCCCTCAGCCCCAGGCATTTCTGCCTTTTTCTGACCACAGTCTTCGGTTCTTTAAACAACCCATTTTCTTTTACTTTCGGGACATGGAGCGCATTTGAACTCCGTCTCTTACCTGCAAAGCTTCTCTATATATTTGCAACTATCATCACCCTTCCTGTCTTTAAAAGTAGACATGTTGTTTCCATCACCTTTGATTATTTACTTCCTCTTCTCTGGGAGGCAGTGAGACCTGCATTCCAACCACGTTCCTGCTGTCACTGGGCTTTGGCATCTCACTTACCCTGCCTGGGCCTCAGCTTCAAGGGATGGGTTGGGGCAAGCTATACCCTCATTGGTAGACAAGGGCCTTGGGTGTTACTACTTGACTCTGATCATCAGGCACATGCTTCACTTCCACTGAATCACATAGGATTTTGTTGCTTATCACTGGGCCATTTTGATAACTTCTTATTGAAGCATAATATTCCTACTCCCTGAGCAAAATTTCATTCAGTCATTTGTTTATTTTGTGTTGGGGGATAAAGATGCACCAACACAGCCCTCCTCAAGGAGCTTAGCAAGAAGTAGAGTCCTCTTCCTGTCCCAGTCCATTTGCATCTTGGCATGTCTCCCTGGACCACAGGCCTCCCAGAAGCCAAGCCAGCTGGATGCAGCCTCTGCTCTCACTAAGGCTCAGCTATCTTCCCTCTTCCTTACTTGTACATCTTTTCTCTTGACATCTCTGTTAGAATCTCTTTCTCCATTCCAGACTTTATTCCTCTATTGCAGCCCTTTAACTGTCTTCACCAACAGGGGGTACCCTACAATTAGAGAATGCCAGGATGGGAAGGGACCGTCTGAAACCAGTATCCATACATTATAGACAGGGAAACTGAGGCACAGAGAGGTCAGTGACCACTGGGTCTAGAACTCAGAGTTTCTGAATCCTCCTGAATCCTAGACCAGAATTCTTCTCACTCAACTTCCCTGGCTTGGGAATTTCAGCCTGCTGGTCTTTCTTACTGTGCCAGAGGTGAGGAGATTACAATAACCTTGAGATACCACTTCTGTTCCATGAAGCTCTTGTCCTCTGAATGTGGAAGAAATGAAGTCCTTTTTAAAGCCTGCCTTCTGAGGCCAAGGTGTGGGTGTGGTGGAGTCCAAGGAGGGCATCCTGAGGTTTATGTGGCTGGGAAAGATTTGCCCTGAGCTAACATCTGTTGCTAATCTTCTTCTCCCTTTTTTAATTTTCCTTAAAGCCCCAGTACATAGTTGTATATTCTAGTTGTAAGTCCTTCTAGTTCTTCTGTGTGAGCCACCACCACAGCATGGCTACTGACAGACAAGAGGACAAAAAGTGTTGTGTCCACTGGAAGGGAACCTGGGCCACTGAAGCAGAGCGTGTAGAACTTAAACCACTAGGCTATCATGGCTGGCTCTGTGTGGCTTGGATTTTCATCTCTTTGATTAACATAGTAAGCTTTCATTTCCATGTTTTCTGGAAAAAGTCTTGGGAAGAATGCAGCACAGGTGGGCAGCTGGCCCAAGGGAAAATTGACAGGTAGCTTAGTTCACCTCTAATTCCTGAGCCTCCTTCTGAGGCCCACTTATGCCTGTCTTTCCCCCTCTCTGTGCCTGCTTCCCACTCCCATCCCATCCACTGCTCAGGGTCCCTTCCCAGGCTTAGATTGTGCCCGGCAGGCCTCCCTTCCCGCTTCTTCTCCTAGAGTTCATTGTTTCCCTCAGGCATCCTCAGCCTGCCAGCTGCTATTCATGACTTATTATGGTTTTCAGTGTATTTTCATTGTGTCATTTCATTTGTTCCCTTCAAGATTCTCATGTGGCAGAGAAGACAGCTGTTATATTCCCCATTTAAGAAAAGAGCTAACTGAGGCTCATTGAGTTGAATCACCATGCAACTGGTGTTAGGCTGGGCATACATCCAGTTCTCCTTCTCTAGATGCTGTGCTCTGCCCGGTACTATGTGAATTTCCACCTTGCTGTTGGTTCCATTCCTTCCTTCTGCTTCTAATCATGCCATTGTGTTGACAAAGTCTTCTCCCTCCAAGGAACTTTGTTAATGGATGCGTACTTTTTGGAGTTTCAGAGAAAGAGAGTGACTCATGTCCAGCACTTTAATAGACCAGTGGGATAGACGTTTTTCGGATTGATCTTTCAGTTGTTTACCTGATACACATTTTTCCCTCTGTCCAGAAGGCCATCTCTTGAGTCAAAAAACTGAGCACATTTAAAAGGTAATAAATTAAAATCATAGAGGCAAAGGGATGAGCAGGTAGAGAGAAGAGGAGGGAGAGGGTTGGGGAAAAGACTCAATATGTCACATACCTAGGACATGCAAATGCTGACGTAGATATTAAACAAGAAGCACTAGGGGTAATTGAGTGTATACAGTGCCGGACTCATGCCTTATCCTCATAAAACTGTTTACATCTGATACTATAGTTGTCATTCTCCTTTTACATTTGACAACATTGAGACACAGAGAGGTGAAGGAGCTTCCCCAAGATCACACGCCTAATACATGGTGGAGTCAAGCTTGAATGAAGCTCTGCTCACCCCCATCCCTACCCCATGCTTCACTAGACTGTGTGTCGTGGGGCTCGGGGAGCCTTGAATCTCTTCATCTCACCCCACGGGAGGGCTGTGCCATATGCAGAACTTTCTAGAAAATACCTTCTCTTGATAACACGGTCTCAGGTGCTAATAACAGTTGAAGAGAAATTATTTCTCTGATACCATTTCTTTGATCCCTAAGTAGAATCTATTTTAACTAATTTAGAAACATGAGAGAAGGCAAAATGTGAAGGCGGAGAACAAACTTGTAATAGATCATGTTAGAAATGCATATTTTATTCAGGTTTTTCCTGAGCTGGATTTAAAACAAAAAAAATCAAATAAATAAGTGCCAAATCTGTTGACTAAGCTTGATTAAAGTTTAGGACTGAAAGCATCCTTACAGCTTGAACATTTTACATTTCACATTCCAAAGTTCACTGGGGAAGTGTTAAGCGCAGTGGATAATGTTTCTTCTGCACATGCCAGCAGTATTTTTGAAAGTTTATAAACTGGCCGGGAAGCATTTGCTGCTGAAATTTGGCCCATGATGATTTCCCTCCAATCCATTGATTTGTTCCAAATTACTTGGATGTTGAATTTTAGAGAGAAGAGGGAGCCACACAAAATATTTTTAGGAATAACCATTGGCCCATAGGCAAGTCTTACTTAAAATCCTTCTAACTGAAGGTGTTTCCCAGTTCCTTAGGAAGATGGTATGGAGGAGAAAGTGGGTCTGAAGCAAGGGAATGTCAAATTGTTTCTCAGGACTCTGATTCCTTCTTCATCATAATTCACTCTTCTTGCTGCATTGCTCATGTGGGAGGCTGAGCCGCTAACTCCTTAGGAGGGGCAAAATCCACGTATGGCATTGGAACCTACGATTTTCATAAACAATTAGAAATAAGGTAACATGAAGGAGCCAGCCTATCATCATTTTACTGAACTTCTTGACCTGATCAAGTAATCCTGACATTTAGGGCTGGCCATGTGGCAAAATGGTTAAAGTTCCATGCGTTCCACTTTGGTGGCCTGCGTTCATGGGTTTAGATTCCAGGTGCAGACCTACTCCACTCATCAGCCATGCTGTGGAGGAATCCCACATATAAAGGAGAGGAAGATTGATGCAGATGTTAGCGCAGGGCTAATCTTCCTCAAGCAAAAAAAAAAAAAAAAAAAGGAGGATTGGCAATGGATGTTAGCTCAGGGTGAATCTTCCTCTCACACACACAAAAAAGTAATCATGATGTTTTAGAGCTGTCAGGAACCTTCAAGAAAGGCCTAGTGAATGCTATGGCAGTATTTCTCAGCCTGGGAGCCAAAGACTGTGGCCAGGATCATCTCTGGGACTTGTAGAACATGCTGGCTCCTTGGTCCTACTCCAGGCAGCTGAGCTAGACTCTCCAGGGGTGGGACCTGAGAGTCTGTCTTTACCATAAGCTTTCTGGGTGATTCTATGCTGAGGAAGTATAAGAGCTGGTCCTCTAGTGAATCTAGTCTCCCTGTTTTTATCTCTGTGACTTCCTCTTAAATTCTTTGGCCTCATCTTAGCATCTCCTGGGACTTATTGCTCTCACCCCTCTGCCCTGAAAGCCCTTTTTCCACAGTGTCTCTTTGTAGTAGTATTACTTGTGGCATGTCAGTCTCCCTCCTGTGGGGTCAGGACCTGTGCCCCTCATCTTGTGTCCCCAGCACCTGGCACAGTGCCTGGTACATGGTGAAGTTCATTAAATATTTGCTGAATGAAGGAATACCTTCTTCGTAGCTGAGGGAACTCTTAGTTGACTTGCTGCAGTGATAAAGCCAGCACCAGAGCCCTGGGCCCCCGATGACCCTTCCCTAGCTTACTGTTTCTGCATTGCACTGCTGCTCACGGAGACTCATGTCATCACACAAGTGTTTGTCAGTCTGTTTACTGGTTTGAAATATATATATTTTTTTACTTCTCTGGATTGTGTTTGCATGATAAACCATAACTCTATTCTTCTGATAATGTTGCATCCAACAAAACACAGCATTTTAAAAAGAAGGGAAAAATAGACACACATATGTGGATACAATGCTCATGAACACTGCCTGACCTATTCCTTGGAATTCCAGAATTCCAGGTGCTCTGCCATTTATCAAGGCTGCACAAACGAAGGCTGAAGTCTTGACAAAAGAGGATTAAGAAGCATAATTCATCACACTTTGTAGTCCATAGTCCCCCAAACTTTTTATTCTTACAAATGGCCTTATTTCTTTTGTTCATGGAAAGACTAGAGGGTAAGGAAACTGCCTGGGCAGCCAATACCCAGGCGCGAGTGCCCAGGCTGAGGGATGACGTTCTTGATCTCACTTTGTCCACACTCTAATGGGAGGTCGTCTTAGCCCTGTTTGATAGATGAGGGACTGAGCTCATGAGCAGGTGCAAGCAGAGGCAATATTTGAACTTGGGCTTTCAAGCAGGCTGCATTAACTTCAGAACTTCTGAAGTGCACGCAGAGATGATGTGATTACAGCTTCGCCAAAGCCCATGTCGAACATTCGAACGCTTTCCTCCTTACCCAGTTCTCAGCAGGTTCCACCCTCCAGCCTGGCTCTCCAGTTTGCATTTGATACCACCGTATAGACTTTCTCATCCTCTCAGACCCGATCCTCAAGAACACCCCGTTGACACTGTCAAAGGGTCAACTCTACTACTAGCTTTTTTCCTGAAGAAGGAGAAGGCATCATTTTTGTTTGATTTGTGGAATTGCTTTCCAAGATCCTAGAAGAGAAGTATGGAAGAGAAAAGTGCTTAGCAGTCAAGGTTATACAGTTGGTTTCCCGTAGTGGGTCCACCCTGGCACAGCTTCTGCTATGTGGTCATGAAGGTGCCATGTTGAAAGACCATGAAGGGTCATGATGGGCACCATGCTCAAGGCTCTGGGTCAATCCCCACTGTCGCCGAGGGGCTGGGCTCCAGGGCTCTCCCAGAGCTGACTGTGATCACTGCCATTGGGGTCAAGATGAGCACCAGGAGAGTACGTGCTTGGCTGTAACTCTGGCACCAGAACCTCTCAGCTGTGCCAGGCTTTAGCTGCGCTGCCTGAAAGACTATCAGTTGGGAGGTCATTGCTCATGGAAGATAGTCTCTGTTCTTCTGTAGCTACCCTTGTTCCCTTTCTCCGTGTCCGTGTCTTTCCTGAGGACGTTGCTCCACCTGCCTTTTCCTCTCTTCTTGTCTCTTCTCTTCTTTCTCCTCTCACTCCCACCACCCAGACTACAGGCTGGGTTGTTTCTTAAAAAATTCTTTAGCTAAACTATTATATTCTCTCTTCTTCATTAAAAAATATTAGACGAATAGAATATGGAGTTCCTAAAATTTAAGACAAATTGTTTTTGTCTTTCATTGCCCTGAATTTTAAAAAAGAAAAATTGTGGTCACTTATATGGGGGAGAAAATTTCTAAAAATGAATATTTTTAAATATAGGAAGGAAAAATGGTCTTTTGGCCTAGTTATAACATAGAATGTTAGTCCCATTTTTCCTTACCTGAGTTTTGTCCTAAAGGGTTTCTTTAGGAGTACCCAAGTTATTTTAAGCTTTTGCAAAATCACCGTAGAGGGCCTTTGTTTATTTAAATCTGTCAAAGGTGATTGTTGTAAGTTTGCAAGATGACTGGTGTCTCCGTGGCATGAGAGTAGAGTCATATAGTCTTAGAACTGTAATCAACTTTTACTGTGTAGGGACCCCTATGTACAAAGAGTAAATACATGAAAAGTTTTAAACACACACACACACACACACACAACTATTTTAATTAAATGCCAAAGGTTTTCTGAATACGTGTTTTAAAAAGTACTCTTTCTTTCTGGTTCCAACACAGTATCTTTTGAGGATAATTTCTGACTTCAGATTCCTTTTGTCAGACACCTCCTCTTTGTTTTAATTTCTGCGACAAGAACGTGGTTACCTTGAGTCTTCCTAATCACCATCTGATAGCCTTTTTCAATGTTCAAATTAAATGAAAAACAAATACTGCGCACATTCAAACAGTGATAACAAATTGGGGTCAAATAGGCTTGTTTTGCTTTTTAAAAGGAAATTTTAGGGGCTGGCCCGGTGGCCGAGAGGTTAAGTTCATGTGCTCTGCTTCGGCAGCCCAGGGTTTCTCCCGCTCGGATCCTGGGTGCGGACATGGCACCACTTGTCAGGCCATGCTGAGGTGGCGTCCCACATAGCACAACCAGAGGCTCTCACAACTAGAATATACAACTATGTAGTGGGTGCTTTGGGGAGAAGAAGAAGGAAGAAAAGAAGATTGGCAACAGGTGTTAGCTCAGGTGCCAATCTTTATGAAATTAAAAAAAATTTTAGCTTAAAATTTTTGATATTTCACGTTCTTATCATGAGTACTTAAATGATGGTGATCCTAAACCTTTCTTGGTCACTGGCCCCTCTGAAGATATGAGAAAAGTTGGGGATCTTCTCCCCAGGAAAGCACACATGTACAAACCCTCCACCCATTTTAGGGGCTTCACACGTCCCCCCAGCTGGCTGAGCATTGCTTTTGGAGATGGAATGAGGAGAGATAAGGCAGCATTCCTGCTCTTTTCCTCAATAAAAGAGATTATTTAAAAAAAAATAAATGCAGTGGTCTAAGTTCTATTTTATTTGGAAAAACTGCAGTTCAGGTTCCTAGTCTGAAAAAGAAAGCAACAATGATACCAACTGTGCAGTAGTGACAATGGATCTAAATTTGCAATGACTTTGCCCACCTACAGTCCACAGGGTCAAAGAAATGTATCTTTCAACACATGGAACCTTTGACCTTAGCTGCTTCTGCTTGGTTTTAGAAAAAATTCTCTTAACATTATGAGCGAAAGTTATGGGTCGATATTCCTTACTCATTTTCAAAGAACTTTAGTTGAAAAGTTACTTAGTTAAAAAGTTTCCATTGTTGATTTATTATACAAGAAAAGAGATTTGCCTGACAAATCAATGGAACAAATTCAGAAGGATGGCCATGGGTGTTTTATTAGTATTATTTATTTCCCAAAATCTTGGATGAAAAATATTTGAATATTTACTCAATAGAGTAGAAAGAAAGAAACATTTCCTTGTTGCCCAAGGTGAATGGAAGGAGTTGTTTAGATTCAAAAGTCAAGTGCAAGAATTCTGCCAATAGGGCAAGGCTTCATGCTTGCTTCTATAATTGTGTTTAGAAAGTCATCTCGTGATCAAATGTTAATTTGTGAAGGGGCTTGTCTGGCAGGGAAGTAGAGCTTTTTATGAGTTAGAGGAATTTACGTTAGATTGTTGGGGCTGTTTTTTGTTGGGTTAAATCTCAGCAAGATGTTGAGGCTGTGTTCCTTACCCTCTTTCTCCTTCATTGTCTTTTTTAGAGGAAAATAATTTTGACCTCCAGCTTTTATGCCCTCAGCCACAGACATTCCTCAGTTTCCAAACCAGCACACTCACAAGTATCATCCCACATTCCACTCCACCTCCGGAAAACAGTTCTGTGTGGTTAATGGAAGGGGAAAAGTTTCTTATGGAGTTAGGGATGGTAGGCATTTAACACGTGGAAGCATATTGTGTGCTTTTAAGGCCACATTTAGAGAATGGTTTCACTGTCTGCTACTAATGTTCAGTCCTTTGTTTTGGAAAGTGGTTAAAGCTCCATCTCTTTCCTCCTGCCCTGGTCTTCAGGTGGTAATCTAGATCTAGACAGAGTGAGCTAACAAGTTGCTGTTAGAGTGAATTTGTTCCCTAACCCATCCTGTGAATATCAATGCTAACAACAGTGTCTTGTGTGTTTTTTTTCTTTCCTTTCCTTTCTTTCTTTTTTGTTTTTTTTTAAATCAATGTGCTTTTTCCTGTGTGAATAATTGTATGTCTAGAAACAGCCATGGAGTGATTTTGCTGTTCTGAATGGGGGAAAGATTAATAGTGACATTTGGAAGGCAAGTATATTGTCAGATCTCAGATCATTTGCTATTGTGTCCTTTTTGCATGGCCGTGGCTGTATATTTTTCTTCTTCATGACTATCATGCATTCCACAGGAACGCAGTGATGGGGCTTCTTGCTAGGGCCATCCAGCTCACACACGTGTGGCCTTTTTTTGATGTCTCCCGTTGTGAATCACTTCAAGCTGATTGCCCCAGGTTCCCCGTTGTCTTGTAAGAACGACGCTTGCACCGAGTCAGCCTCCGGCAGTCCTTGCATGCATGCCTTTCTCTGCCTAAGCTCACGTACGCTCTCTGCCTCATGCCAGGAGGACTCTCCTCCCCTTTGATACCGGAGGCCATGTAATGGGCCCTCCCCCTTTCTCCATTAACAGGGATCTATTTTCCTCTAGGATTTGCATGCAGCCACAGTTAACCCGGACCCCAGCTTAAAAGAGTTTGAAGGAGCAACACTACGTTATGCATCTTTGAAACTCAGGTAGGGCATTGGAAGGACCTGCCATAATATGTGGCTTTGTGCAGCTGGAGTTGGCAATAGAATTCTAAGTCCAATTTTCTGTTTTTCTTCCTAGAAGTGCCCCACATGCTGATGATGACGATTCTTGTAGTATCAACAGTGACCCAGAAGCCAAGGTTTGTAAGAAACGTGCTTTCAGCCACCAGCTTATATTCTTGCATCAGTCGTGACTTTGGATAATGGCCCAGTTTTGATAAACCGTCAACCCAGAGGCACTTAATAAGTAGTTCTCCCTCCATCCTCTCTCTTTCCTGATCTCCTGACACTTAAAGTAAATCCCTAGGCCAAGTTAGGTTTGGGAGGATTTCTGTGTTCATCAAGACCCTGCCTGTATCCACTACGTCAATTCTTTGCACGATGTGATAAGTTAAAATTATTGTTTGAATGGCTGAGCTTCAGAAGCCTTTGGAGATAAAGCAGGCTCTGCTTTGCAGTGCAGTGGGAGGGGTGGTTGAACAGGTGGTGTGGGACCTTCCCGCCTACGTCCTCCCGTGTAGCCTCACCCCTGTGCAAGGTGCCATCCCTGTCATAAACACAGGCGTGTTTTATGATGGAAAGTGAGAGGGAACTTTTGCTTTTGGACTTTTGGTGGAGTACCAGCAGGGCCAGCGTTAAGGGCAGGTGGCCAGTGCAGTTACACAGCGTCTTATGCTGAGAATCAGGGCCCCATTCAAGGGGTTTTAATGCTGTACGATTGCCGTCTTGAAATTCGTAATGATTTTATCTTTGAGTTTGTGTTTTATAAGAGAAGTCCATTGGGGCAATGGAGCGTGCACTCTGGGGTTGGAGCCTTGGCTCTTACACAGTCCTGTTACCTCCCTACCTCTCTGGGTGGTTCTTGACTGCCTGTTCCCCTGCTCCTTGGCACCCCAGGTCCTGCCAGACCTCCCCATCCCTGCCCCCACCCAGCAATTACTACTGCCTTCCTCCCCAGTAGGGGCCTAGGTGTGAGCATGAGGAGAGTTGGCATCGAGCACACAATCTCCATGGCATCTCTGGAAGGGGCTAAGCAGTGGCCTACCCAGCCTAGTCTGTGACAGTGCCTGGTATATTCAGTGGTGACGTAGTAAGGGTGGGCCCTGCCTACTCCCAATCTAGGTACCTAATGTGTTCCAGCATAGATGTTGCAATGCACTTGAGAGTCACCCGTCTGCTCTGGATTGGGGTGGTGGGTCCCTGGAGAAGAAGGATTCCTGGCTCAATTTCCCCAGTCCCGGTCAGGGTGTGGTACATTGGTCCAGCAGCTGGTGGGAGGGGGAGCCCAGAAGCTGATGGTCTGTGGGGGTGGGCAGAGCCCCTGGGCACCTGTGATGGTCTGCACTCACCCTGCTAGTATCCTCTTGTCCAAGGGAGCATGACATTAAATAGCAACTGAAAAACAGCGTAACTGGTCAAGAGACAGAATGCAGAAGAAGGAAAAAGCTTCGTGTCTTAGTACTTTTTAAATTTTTTCCTACTTTTTGAACAAGGGGCCCTGCATTTTTATTTTGCACATTTCATTTTCATTTGCAAATTATGTAGCTGGTCCTAGATACTTTTTCTGAATCCCAAAGTAGATCTGTGTCTATGAATAAAACAGCAAATAGGTTCCTTAAAGTGGGGGAACAACATGCGGGTTCAAAACCTTGACTGCTTTGCCAGAAACTGCCAATTGGCATTGGTTCTGTAAGAATTTCAGGGCTCGCACTGGAAATCTCCGCTGCTCCTAGAGTACTCAGTTTCATGCTAAGCACAGCGTGATCAGATGAAGGCCACTCTAGAGCCAGCAGTGTTCTGAACAGGTCCTTGGGCTCCTGCTAACATGCTGGGCTTTAAAGATAAATTTTATGGTGAGGAAGGGATGCAGGAAAACAGGAACGTGGGCTGTGAATAATTTGCTCTGCCATCAGGTGTTTTACAAGGGCTCTCAGCAAAGGCTGGAGGAGGAGGGGCGAGCAGCAGCAGCATCTGGCACCGTCAGGGCTGGGGTAGTGATGTCAGTAAAGCCACCTGGTGAAGTTGACAGGAGTGGGCAGGGAAGGTGACGCGTGGAATAGAGATTGAATTGGTAATAGGAATAGAAGGCCTGGTGGAAATATTACCTGAGTCAGTGCTTTCTTTTTTTCCCCCATCCCAGTTGTATTGCTTACTGAATTCTTTGTCTGCCCCCTTTCTATTGCCAGCATGTCTGTTCCAACACCTATTATGAATTTGTTCGTGTTAATAAGGATGCTCAGCTTTGTCACAAGTTACCGAAGTTGTACTGAGTTCTAAACAAAAAAGTACTTGTGTTGTATTATTTTAAATCCTACTTTGTTCCACAAAAGATCTGAGAAGACATATAAGAACGGACGCTTTCTTAAAAAGGCTCAGAAAATATAAGGGAAGAGGCAGGTGCATCTGTCTGTATTGGGGCAGTAGACGGAGTTAGGACAGATCAGACTGGGGAGAAGGGAAAAACATGGCTGTGGAAAGCATAGGTCTCTGCATAGTTAGGAAAATTGACCTTTAGGTTCATTTTTGTGCTTCCTGGTGATTCTTTACATGGAGGATTCTTAGGGTGAATGGCATGAATCTCTAAGGGCAACTCAGAATCTTGAAAGGATTTTTGCAAACTTCATGCTTCCAGCTGCCCCTGCCCCGCCTGAGATTCTGAAGGTCCCCTGTGCTGTGGAAAGTCATTGTCACTCTTGAGGACCCCAAGCATGTTGGTAGGGGGAAAGAGTTTCAGAACTCTGCTTTGTGTGAATCACACTATGCATAAGGCAAAAGCATTCCAGTTCCTTATGCTGTGTGATGGTTTTTCTAGTGCTTCATTATAAAATAATTGTAATAGTGAGTATTTATTGAATGCTAACTTTTTGCCAGGCATGGTCCTAAAGACTTTATTTCTGGTGACTCTCTTCCTCGCAAAAATTCAATGGGCTAAGTGTCATTATCTCCATATTGCAAATGTGGAAACTGAGACATCAAAAGGTTAACAGCCAGTAAATAGTAGAGTCAGCATTTGATTCCAGGCTATTTGGCTCCAGAGCCCGTGCTCACTAGACTGTCTAAAGAAAAGTCTGACTTGGAGCTTCATTTAGGAGCTACCATGGAATAATGTGATCAGAGTCCTCAACAGTATTCCAAATATATAATATATAGAAATTTGGATTTTGACAGTTGGTATTGCATAGCATTATTCATTGGAAGCGAAAGACAAACACCCCAGCAAAATTCATTTCAAGTAAATTGGTAGAGGATCATGACAGTGTGGACCAGCTTTCTGGTCCAACTTGAGGCAGAGATGAACTCTAGACTCTAGAAGTGGAATCGATGGACTGCAGGTTTTTTCAGACCACCTCTTGGAGTTTCAACTAGGCTTATGATGAAAGTTGGGCCTAGGAGGGAGCAGGGGGCTGGATTGGAGCTAAGCTGCGTTGCTGGGGATTGGCAGAGCTGTGCACTTTAGATACACCAGGCAGATGGTGGGTTGATGTCCCATTGAGGAAATCGAGGGGTCTCGTTGTCCTTCTCTGGATGCAGGGTCCTTCCACCCACTAATGGAAGTGGGCCCAGGAAACCCTGTGGGGAAGGCCAAGACAATCTTTCAGAATTTCAACTATTTCAAAATCCAACAGCCCTAAATGAATTATTTTTTACAAATTTTGAAGATGTCAGTGAGTTGAGAAGTGACTTTAACGAAGCCCCTTTGGGGAAGCTCTCCATCACCACCGCCTTCTGTCCTCTCCTATCCGCCCTCTTAGTTACTCCTCACCCTTCACTGCTGCCTCAGGCGCCTAAGAATGGAGAAGTGGCAAGATCTGGGTTTCCCGGATGTTCAGGCTCCTTGGTAGAAGTAAGTTACCTCCTTAGATAACCTTTTCCGTTCTTTCAGTCTGCCAAGGACCAGGAAACCTAGCACCTCCAAAACAGGCAGCAAGTATCCTTTCTTTAGAAAAAAATATTTAATTTCATGTATGATAGAATTTTAAATATAGTCCCTGAGGAATGATTGCTAAAAAGATTATCAAAAATGTCTTTCTTATGCCCTAAGTGAAATTTACATGCTGAAAAAATAAAGATCATTTTTAGACTATTAGGATGTGGATATTTTGAAACCCTCTCCAGCCGCTGAGTGTGAGCATCTTGATAATCAGTTGCTCAGTGAAACCTCTAAATAGCAATGGCAGTGTAAGATGACCACACACACACATCCACTCTCTCTCCCGCACCAAAAAAAGCAAAGTATTTTTATAACTATGAAAATGTTTTTTGAGCCTACCTAATTTTTTATACAAAAAATATTTTTTGTCATTGATAGCAATATGTGCATGAGTGTGTGTATAATTCTGAGCTCCTTAACTTTATATTTTAAAATAATTGTAAATTTATAGAAGAGCCGTAAAGATTGAATTCTCATATACCCTTCACCTAGCTTTCCCTAATAAAAATGTCTTCATAATCATGGTACAATGATCAAAACTAAGAAATTAATGTTGATACCTTATTATTAACTAAACTAGAGGGTTTATTCACATTTTCCCATTTTTTCCACTAATGTCCTTTTTCTGTTCCAGGATCCAATTTGGATATACATCACATGTACTGAGCTCTTTAAAAATTATTTCACGGGGGCCAGCCCAGTGGCATAGTGGTTAAGTTCGCACACTCCACTTTGGTGGCCTGGGGTTTCACAGGTTTGGATCCTGGGCGCAGACCTAGCATCGCTCATCAAGCCAGGCTGTGGCAGCATCCCACATACAAGATGGAGGAAGACTACCACAGATGTTGGCTCAGTGACAGACTTCCTCAGCAAAAAGAGGAGGATTGGCAACAGATGTTAGCTCAGGGCCAGTCTTCCTCACACATACAAAAAACTATTTCACAGATCCCTTTCCATAATTCTCAGGTTTGTCATTCTTAATTCCATTATAATATTCCATTGAATTAATAGCATCATGATCTGTCTAGGCACCCAGTAGTCACAAGAGCAATTTCCAGTACTACAGAGCAGATAGCTACAACTTCATAAAAATAGGTTACTTTTTTTTCTTTTAAATTACTGCTTTGGTATAGGCTACTAAAACTGGTATTACCAGGTCAAAGGCTATCAGTTTATGGCTTCTGTCACTTATTGCAAAATTGCTTTTCA